GTGGAGATTTATTCATTTTAATTGTTGCTGAAACATTATGGGTACATAAAATAAGGCTAATTGTTCAATTAGCAGATAGTAGATAAAATGGCTAAGCCTGGCTCTCCAACCCTATTGTACAATGTTAAGGCCGAAATACTTTTTCTGTTTTGCTTTTGCAGTTTCACTTTAATTAGAAGGCATTGTTTTACTGCTTGATGTATACCATTCATCAAATCTAGCAAATGAAATGTATTAAGTCTTTTTTTTATAGTCGCAAAGTTCTGTACACAAAAAGGGTACAATAAATAAGAACACGAAGTGGCATAATAGCCAAGAAAAAGAACAACTTAATCGGTACACACGCAAAGATTACTGAGTCAGAAAACTGTGTAGATCCCCAAAAAGTTTAATAAATAAATAATATGCATCATGGACGTGCAGTTTAAATGTACTTGAAAGCAACACACAACAGTAAAAAAACAACATATAAAGAAGGAAGAAAAGAATAAAAATAAGACCTTTATTTTTTTTTTTAAAAAACAAACAACTATAGTTAAAGCGTGTATACACTGGAGAAAATATGCACGAGTTAGTGTAATTAGTGTAACCACGCCTTCAGTATCATCGTTTAATTTCTCTATCTTTGATTAAATAAAGTGTTTCCCCCCACAGCTTCAGGTTTGTGGATACCTGCAGCTGTGTTAAAACAGACTGCGTGAGGAGGAGGGGGAAGTTCGGAGTGGGAGGCTCAAAAGTCAGGATGCAGTCAGATGCGCGACTTTTTTTGTGAATGAAAGGAAACGAGGGGGTCTCCACTTTCTGTCCTAGACAGGCACTGAATCTCGCCCGCTGGGGCCTACCGGACAGTCCGGATCATGACGCTGGACAACAAGCCCATGGATGAGGCGGACATTGAAGTGGGGGGCCAGGCGGACTGCAGAGAAGTTGTGAGGAGGACAGATGTATCAGTGTTCGGGGAGAGTAATGTAGACTTGGAGCGACGGCCTTCATCCTTTTCTCCTGGCGTGCAGGGAGAGGACGACTTTGAAGTCCGACTGCAGGAGGGTCCCGGAAGGAGAATTGCCTCGGTGAAGCCTCCGTACTCTTATATCGCTCTCATCACCATGGCCATCCTCCAAAGCCCCAAAAAGAGGCTCACTCTCAGTGAGATATGCGATTTTATCAGCCAGCGCTTTGTTTATTATCGGGAGAAGTTCCCTTCGTGGCAAAACTCAATCCGTCACAACTTGTCTTTGAATGACTGCTTTGTCAAAATGCCCCGGGAACCCGGGAACCCAGGCAAGGGGAATTACTGGACTCTGGATCCCATGTCGGCGGATATGTTTGAAAATGGGAGTTTTCTTCGTCGCAGGAAACGCTTTAAGCGGCAAAGTTTATATTTGGCACCGATGAAAGGCTCCAGGGCGCAGGAGCTCACTTTGATGCCCGTTTTTCCTCTCCTCGGAGTGCGCAGGGTGGTCTCTAGTCTCCAGAGTCCCGATTTGTACCGAGATCAGGATCTAGAAAGTGGTTTCGAGTCCCGGGTTATCCCCAACAGACCACCTGTAAGCAACGTCACACCTGCGCTTTCCTCGATCCTCTCCAAAAATTTCCCTTCTTGTCAAAACTTGGAACATTTGGACGCCGGATGCTGCGCCGCTGTGCGATCTTTGCCTCCGACCTCCTGCCTCCTGCATCCCGTTTCACTCCACGGAATGATACCCAACTTCACTCTTTCGCAGCTGCCTGCTTTTCCCGACGGGATCTTTAAGATTTCGTCTAGTTTAATTTAATCTAATGATGTGCGCCTGCACTGAGACCGACAAGGCTACCAAATACTGAATCAGATTCCCTGAAGTAAATGCTTTCAACACGGATGTTTTTAAAATCTTTCAGTGTGTTTGGAATAAAATGGATCATTTTAATTTCGTGTGTGCACTTTTTATTACAATTATTTGTTACATCGGAATGTGTACAAGATTAAAAAGACCATATCAAATGAACCCGGTTCATATAAATGCATTCAGCTATGTTTTTAATTATTACTGCTTAATTTTAAATCTTTTTTACGACTGAATACAACTAAAGTCTAGACTTAAATGACAAATTTGCAGGATTTTAAATAAAATTGTGAAAACAACGAGAAATAAAAAAAAAACAAGTTTAATATTCTTAATTTTACTTGACGATGATAAATCATAAAGAGACTGTTTAGGCTTATACAAATATTAATGACAATATCCATCATTGTGTGGCAAATGGGCCATTTGATTTTGTATCATTTTAAGATAAAAGAATACGTATGTTTAAATAATTTAAATACACTGATTATTCTGAACACCCACAGTCTGCGCCTACAGCGTTCACAGTTCAACTATCGATCTATCTGAAGAACAGGATGATCAGTTCCCGGTGTTGTGTCGTGATTATTTTGATTATTTAGATTATTTTGTGGTGGGTGACTAGTTTGCTACCTAGAGAATGAAAGAACACAAGACATCTGGGCATGTACACGTGTTATCCTTCCCTTTTCTGTTTAGCTTTGGCCGGTTTGAGTGCATATATATTCGCTCACATCCTACTGCAAACCAGGCCTTCTTTATTAAAACCACGTCTTCATTTTTCAAAACACTTCTGTCAGGCGAGCTAATAGTCACGTTTTTGCTTTGTGGTGTACTCCAGCCTGTACACAGCAAGAATATTAGATTCACTCAATCAACGGGCTGCTGGGTATTATTACAAGTTATGCCTCGTCTTTATTTAGAAGTTCTCCGTGGTGTTTGATATGCAGAGATGAGTTGTGGAGGATGGCTGATTTCCCAGAAGAAAGCTTCGGATCCAAACACACACACACACACACACACACACACACACACACACACACACACACACACACACACACACACACACACACACACAGCAAAATAGGAACAATTATGATTAAAATGTGCAGAATTATCAAGATCAAAGGCCCTTTGGCACTTTCTTTCTAGAGAAATGCAGAAATATGTATAAACCATTTCATTATTGTAGGTCTGAGAGGAGTTAACCATTTAATTTGCAAATGTGCAACTCATCAAAAGAAAAGGCATGTTTGCGTGTATGCTGTGTTTGAAAAATGGTGGCATTGGTTCTTAAACTGACATATAAAACTGACATATAAAAAGCACCATGCGTCAGTAAGAGATTAGAACAAATTTCCTCCATATCCTGCCAATATTAGTAATGCATATAGTCTCTATAAAGAGTGCATAAACCTAACCTCTACACTCAGATCTATAACAATCATCTATTGTTCTATTTTTGTAATTGTACTCATGGTTGAACACTTTAATTCTAAAGGTGCACAGATAATTTACAGTATTTGTGAAATAAAATAATAGTTTTACAAATTTCAGGAGTTTTGCTCATGATTTTAAATTCTTGAAGATGAAAGAATGTGATCAACATGGACTGGACAAGTTGCTCTTAGGAACCATGTTTCTGAATCCATGACAGGTAATCTCTACTAAGAAGTTTGATGTGTCCCATAAATGGTCTTTTACCATGTTTTAACATCTGTCTTTAACTAAAATCACCCTCAGGGTACAGTCTGCTTTTCATACTCAGTTCTACTGAGTTTTATTCGGCTACAGCTGTGCAGCAAGTGGAAGACTTTATTGAAGGAGTGGAATTTAATGAGTCAACATTTTACTTATTTCAATTTACTATTTATTCATTCTTGAATATGATTAACCTTTCATCTCCTTTTCTCTTTTGTTTCTTGCAACAGGCTTTCGCTGAGGACAAAGAAAGTGATGTTAATATTTGCAGTAAAAATAAATGAATAATCATCTAGGCTCTTTGTGATGCTCCATAAATCCTCAGTTCTTTTTACCAGTAAGAGACAAAGTGGGTTTGGACATGAAATGTGATCACAGCAACAGCACGCGATGAGAGAACACCACAGAAATAGTCCTTGTTGTCCTGTTTTTGGCTGCTCTCCCTCAGTCACTCCTAACCCTGTTCAAGGAAGGATTGTTATGGCTCCATTTGTTTCACGTCTCCTTTCAAACTGCTGCACTTTCTCGATAAACAGCAGAGAGGATATTTCCGGCACTTTCAGAAGGATGACAGCAAATATCTGCACTGCTAAAGCTTCTGTGGCATCTTTCAATAAGTGGAAATTTAGTTTCAATTCTTTCTTTCTTTCTTTCTTTCTTTCTTTCTTTCTTTCTTTCTTTCTTTCCTTCTTTCTTTCTTTCTTTCTTTCTTTCTTTCTTTCTTCCTTCCTTCCTTCCTTCCTTCCTTCCTTCCTTCCTTCCTTCCTTCCTTCCTTCCTTCCTTCCTTCCAGATCTGATGCACATTTCCCTTGGCATTCTGTCTAACGGCCAGCAGGGGCTCCTCTGGTTGCAAAAAGTCTTAAGACAGCATGACCTTACTGCACTTTCCCGATCAGTTTATGCTCTCAGTCTCCTGTTTCCAGTCTTACCCAAGTGTTGCTTTTGCAATTTAAGTTCTTTTGAGTAAATGAAGGTATGAATTTATTTATCATGAGTTTTTCTTTAGTCAAATGTGGTTCAAAACACTACAATGGTAACACGACGTGAATGTTCAGCCTGAGGATTCACACAGTACTTCACACACCTTTGGCATAAGTGTATATGTAGTCTATGTGAAGAAGAAGAAGAAGAAGAAGGAGGAGGATAAGAATGAAAATGAGGAGGAGGTTAGCCACTTTTTTGTTTGATTTGGCACAGATTTTTTTCTGGATGCCCTTTGTGTTGCAACCTTTCCACTTATCTATTATTAAACATAAACTTCTGCATCACATATAAGATAATGTCTCCAGTCAACTAATTATGTTTCATATAATAAATATGTTGATACCAAAGTACTGTAGTACATACCGCAGTACTGAGGCAGTATATCTTTGTTCCAATTACCAAGAAATTAAAGCTGAAAGCAGCAATTATGAAGACTTTGCATCTTTGATATTGTGCATGAGAGAAACTTCACGGGCAGCATGTCGATGCCTTCAGAGCAGGACTCTTATTGGATGCTGCATAAAGAAGACAAGCTTGTTTCCAGGTTGGAGATTGTTGAACTTAACTCCATTATCATCACTGACTGCTTCCACTTGATAGCCGCCCACATTACGGGCGTTGCAGTAGATGTGGTCTTTGGAAATTTCAACTATTTCACACTCAACTGATACCGTATTAAACAGTTCACCAAATTTCCAGTTTTTGCCATGACTACCACTATACAGTGAGAGTGCATACGATTTACTGTTTGGTAAGAAACAAGGTTTGCAGCAAAAGGAAGTATAAGCATAAACTGGGATAATCAGTCGACCACTCTCTGCTGGAATACCATGGCCTGGCCCAACAGCAAATGTGGACCAGTTTTTTATTTCACTCAGTTCGTCCGTCAAATCGATCACATCGCTCCAGGTTTCTCCGAGGTCCTCACTTGTGATGAAGCAGAGACGGGTCCGGTTGTCACAGTTTTCTTTCTGGTACATTTCAGTGATAGCGTCTTCAACACAGATGAAAAACAGGAAAAGTTTGTTGTTGACCTTGTCATACACCGGGCAGGGGTTCATTGGACGGTATCCTTTAATAAGTGCCTTTTCCAGCTGTTTGAGCTCTGACCACTAAAAGAGAGATTGTTCAGGAGTAAATAAAACAGAACAGTTTAAAGCAGGAGCGTAACTAACAAGTAATTTAGAACTGAAATGGTTGATTATCACTATTACCCCAACTGTCTTCTTAGAGGATCCCTCCTTGATCTTTCCTGTTCTCATAACCAGCTTTTCTCCGCTGGTATCATCTGAAGTCTTCCTCTGCTCTGCAAAGGCAAATAAAGTTTTACTTTCTCTCTCATACAGAAGAGCAGGGATCCTGTAAACGTTTCCAGCAGTTTCATTAGATGTAAAAAGAGTTTGCTTCTGCAGCTGAGCTTTTGGTAAAGGTACGGTGAACATGGTTGGTGTCCTTGCATGCAAAACGACCATGTAATAAAGGTCTTGCTGGTTATATCTCTATGACTGTCAAAGTTTGTCTGATGGGGATTTTATAAGGCTGGTTTGTACACAGTGTGACTTTTCATTTTCTGAAGAAATTATTAACATTTCAGTGAGCTGAAGTCTCCCCTTGTTGAGAAAGCCAAGTCCAAGGAAAGAGGTGGTTCCGGAAAACAAGCTTAGATCAGAATTAACATAACCCGTCTGTGTAGGCAACTACCTCAGCAAACAGACACAACCCAGGTAGCATAAATTAAGCATTACCGGTTGGATGTGTGAAAAGCAGCCACTTGTTCAAGTTCTGGCTTGGGTCATTTTTTGTATTTGCACTTTCATTTTGAGTTGGAAAGGACACCACACTTCCTTGCCAGTCTGAATTTGTTTACACAAGCTTCCCAGCAGATTAAAGTGTGCTAAAATTAATTATAATTACTGACAGCTTCCAGTCAAGAGCCTTTGTCACTGTGAGCATTGCAGTAATTTGAACTGAGGTCTTTTTCACCATGAACCTCTGTCATTTCACATTTACCTGATCTTGCAATGATCATACTGCATTATTTGACGTGTACTGCCCTCTTCATCACTGGAACTACAACGAATATCAAGTAATCAGTATAAAGTGGCACGATCTGTTTGAATACCAGTGATTACAGTGCTCTCTACACAGACCAAAAGGCTTTTGCTTGTCTTCTCATACACATCATGTACACCCATGTGTATTAGGCTATGGTAGGGGTATCAGTTTAAAAGAGATGGCATTAGTTCGTAAATAAAAGAAGCAGCACCATGCATCAGTGGGACAGTCTTTATAAATAGTAAATGAACCCAAACTTTGCACCAAAATCTCAGCAATCGTCTGTTCTTCTATTCTAAAATTGTACCCAGTGTTAAACTCTTTAATTCTAAAGCTACACAAATTATTTATGGTATTTCAATATATCAGAATATACAAATACTGAAGCTTTGTTTACACGTTTACATATCTTTAAGATGAAAAGATGTAATACACAAGTTTCTCTTAGGAACCATGTTTCTATATTGATCCATGACAGGTAATCTCTACTAGGAAGTTTGATGTGACTCATAAATGGTCTTTTACCATTCGTCTTCAACCGAAATGACCCTCAGAGTACAGTCTGCTTTTCATACTCAGTTCTACTAAGTTTTATTCGGCTACAGCTCACACACACACTCTCAGCCCTTGTAAAAAAAAAGTGTGTGTATATTTCATGGTAGCCCAATAAAGTCAGCTGGTAAAGTCTGAGGAGGAGCCTTTGAGATGTGAGTCCTGTGACAGTAAATATGCTGCAGCATTTCAAGCAGGAGACCCCTTCCATTAAAACCTGCAAGAGACAGATGATATACAGCAGCAGGGCCACAAACTCATATTTCATTTATACATATGTGCAGCAAGTGGAAGAGTTTATCGAAGGAGTGGAAATTAGTGAGTCAAAATCTTACTTATTTCATAATTTCAATTTACTGTTTATTCAGTCTTGAATATGATTAACCTTTCATCTCGTTTATTACAGGAAACAGGAAATCCTGTTCAAGGAAGGATTTTTATAGCTTTATTTGTTTCGCACGTCTCCCTTCAAACTGCTGCACTTTCTCGATAAACAGCACAAAGGATCCTTGGAGCACTTTCAGAAGGATGACACCAAATATCTGTACTGTTACAGATTCTGTGAGGAAGGACATTTCTTTTAAATTTGTTCTTTAAATTTTCTTTCCTTTTCTTTTTCTTTTTTTAATATCTAACATTTCCCTTAGCATTGTTTTTTTTTTTTTTTTTGCCCTTTCACTGTATTTATAAAACATGGATGTCATCTCCAGCTCTCAGGAGAGAAACATACTCCAAGTTCCTGATGTGCCTTCTGTCTAATGGCCAGCAGGGGCTCCTCTGGTTGCAGAACCAAGTCTTACAGTTTTTTCTGAATGCTTAAACCCTAACTGTGATTCCTGTAGCACAATCTCTAAAACTATTCAGACTTATAGCAAAACCACTCACTGAGTTTGCAAAACTAAAAGCACAAAAACTGCTTTGCACTCAGTTTGCAATTTTGTAACACACACTTTGCAAAACTGTAGGCACAATTCACTGCACAACACTCAATTACCAAATTTCCAACACACTCCTAGCAAAAGTATACACATGTATGGCTATCATTAACACTAATTTGCCAACTGTCTGGCACACTTTCACATGTGAAAACTTTTTTAGATAATTAGTTCACTTTGCAATCAGCCTAAGCACTATAATACAGGTAAGCTGTGTGTGCGGAGTACAATGGAGGGAGCAGAAAGAGTGAGAAGTAGAGGAGGCCGAGGAAGAGGATGTGGAGGTGAAGGAGTAGGATGAAGAGGACGACAAGGACAAGGAGGAGCAAGAGGAAGACGAGGAGGGGGGAGAGGAAGATGAGGAGGGGGGAGAGGAAGGGTAGGAAGAGTAAGAAATAGAATTGCTGATGACATCAGAGCTACAATAGTGGACCATGTAATCAACCGTGGAATGACCCTGAGGGAAGCTGGCCAACGGGTCCAGCCTAACTCGAGCCGCTACACTGTAGCAAGTACCATAAGGACATCTTGAAATGAGAATCGGTTAGTACAGTCACTTCGCACAAAGATTTGTAGCACTGCCATATGCCAATGAGAAACACACCAACACCATTGATGTAAAAATACTGAAATTGTTACTTTACAGAATTGCTAGATGACCAGATGCTGGGGGCAGAGGAAGCATGTTCACTGCAGACCAAGTAACCCATATAGTCATTATGGCGATTGCAAATAATCCTATACTTGGAAATAAACACTTGTGTTTGTTTTGATGTGTTTGAATAAACACCAGTACTTGAAGTTTGGATCCCTCTATGCTTATGGATCTATGACAGAAGTATGAGCTCAAACTGACATAGCCTACCTTGTGCACAGAGAAAGCAAAAGCCAGATGTGTTTTGTATTCATACCATCAGTGTGCAGTTGGCGCATTGTGTGCTTAGTAGATGATGGCTTGTGTGTACTGTTTGATACGGAAACACCATTTTTACGAAGGTGTGAAGAGTTAATCTAGCTGTGTTTGCTTTTGCAAGAGAACTACAATGTTTTGATTATTGGGTGACAGGTTTTCTTATTTGTGTGAAGAGTTTTGCAAAATTAGCCAATAGTTACAAAAAATGTGCTTAAGCAATCAGAAAAAACTGTAAAGCAGTCTTCCAAGAACGCATTGCTTAACTGTTCAGAGATTTTTATAGTTGGAACAAACACAGGAAAGCGTAAACTTGGGGTGTGGCATAAAGTCATGTGGCATAAAGTCAAGAGTTTTGCAAAATTAGCCAATAGTTACAAAAAATGTGCTTAAGCAATCAGAAAAAACTGTAAGGGATCAGTTTAGGGTCTCAGTCTCCTGTTTCCAGTCTTACCCAAGTGTTGATTTTGCAATTTAAGTTTCTTTGAGTAAATGAAGAGATGAATTTATTCATCGTGACTTTCTTTTAAGTCAGATCTGGTTTTAAAAGACTACAATCGTCGACACACAATTGTCAATGTTCAGCTTGAGGTTTCACACAACTTGACAGACTAGTGGCTCATGTGCAGAGGTGGGAAGTAACTAAGTAAAAATACTAAGTAATTATGGTCACTTCAGATGGCTGCCCCTCCCTGAGTCCATTTCTGCCAGAGATTTCTTCCTGTTCAAAGGGAGTTTTTCCTCCTCACAAAAATGATTTGACTTGAACTGTATTGTATTACAGTTTTTGCCCATTGCTTGAACACTATAAACCCATGCTTAGACTAAAGTAACCCAACTTGAAGCTTTTGTTACCATACCTCAAACACATGTACCCATACCTTAAACAAAAGTGCTGCTTTGCACCCTAGTTGCAATCATGCAACACACTTACTCCTTTATGCAACACACATGGTCCTGCATACTACACTCTATTTCATACATAAGACACTTAGTTCACAAAATGAAATTTCAGGGTTCCATTTGCAAAACCCATGTATCAAAAATACAAAACACATCGGGTAATTGCAACCACTCAAATACACACCTGAAGGCACTTACTTGCAAAACTGAACACCAATTAGCCAACTACAAAAAGCCCTCAGTTCAGCCAATTCAAGAACTCTGCAAGCATGGATGGAGGGAGAACAAGAGGAGGTCGTCATCGAGGCCATGCACGGACCCATATTTCTGATGATATAAGAGCAACTTTGGTGGACCTTGTCATCAACCATGGCCTGACTATGAGGGAAGCTGGGCAGAGAGTCCACCCACATCTAAGCCGCTTCACAGTGGCATCTGTAATAAGAACTAGTGATGGGCAGATGAAGCTTCATGAAGCACTGAAGCTTTTCATCCAATTGGTTCACCCCAGCTTCATTTGCTCTAGTAGGACACCTACTGGACGTAAAAATATTAGTTGGCATGAATTTGAAGAGTGTGGCCTTTTGCACACAGCCTGTAAATGTCAACAACAAAAGGAGTGTGTAAAACATGTATATTGTAGTGATGCAGTACACTGTGTATATTTATACTGGCAGTATGGAAAATGATTATTTCGAAATGCTTAAAATGGAAATGATCATTTACTGTGAGGTGAGGTGTGGTTGGGGTGTAGACAGTGGTTGTGCTCTTTAACGTTGAGGTATGGACAGCTACACACTGAGGCGTCAGTCCTGCCCATATTTTATTCAGTAAAAACTAAATATTCACTGCTTTTATAACCTTTAGTGGGGAGAACATAGCTAGGATTTAATAAGTTAACAAATCTTTTAAATCCTTTGTCCTCCACAATGCTAAATGGCTGGGAGTCCTCAATCACCATGCTAACCAGGTCTTCATCTATTTGAGATTGTTCTCCTGAGGAAAGACAATAAAAACAAAGCACAAATATATCACACACGTAACTTATTACAGCTGTATAATATTGTTATATCATTTAGTAACATTA